AACTAGCCTGGGTGTTAATTCATGCATAAACTTGAAGTAGTGAAATTTGAGCTGCTGCCCTGCAAAATTGACAACTGGTAGACAGTTTTCAAGACGGCACTTTCTTCGTAGTAAACAGATGTACCCATAAACCGATTTTGACAGGAAACAGAAGCATGGTTTAGAAGCTAATTTGTTTTAAATCACTTTTGACCAAAAAAGCACATTTTTGTGCATATTTCAAACTACAGTGTCCATAAAAAAAATACTAACAAAATTTTAAAATTCATACAATAAGCTTTCCGAAAATATATAGTTTTGTGGACAAGGGAGGTCATCTTGGTTTCCTAATTAACTAATTAAAATACCTGTCGGGTAAACTGCATCTCTACCTTAAGATGCATCCATAACACTAGACTGGCAAAGTCAGGACTTCTTTTTTGTTTACAAAAAGAAATAATTACTGGAGTAATAAACTTTCAATACTCTTTTATGGATTCGATTGCAAAGATAGATACTTTAACTCTCTAAGTGCGAAGGCGATGACGATACTTTCATCCATGTTTACTGAAAACAAGTCTATTTAAATGTCCAATGTATATAAGTAGTCTTTCAAAATCGCCAGGTCCTCAGAAGTGAAAGGTCACGTACATTAACATAATCAGCTGCACTCAGATTTGTTGTCAGTGCTAGTCAACAGCTTTTAATTAGCATAATCACCACAGTGATTCTGCTCCGTTTTTCATTCCAATGCAGGGAGTCCCCTGCAGATGCGTCCAGTCGGGATTCCTTTCGCGGTTACGCTAGTTATCGCGATCACGCTTAAAAAGGCTAAATTGACAATTACTGTAGAATACTTTATTTTCGCTTGGAATTTATTTTCTCTATTTTCACTGAAGGGGTGATTCCGTGAAAATAAAATCCAGCGAATATACTTTTTTTCCTACATTTTACATTAAACTCATCAAAAATCAGTGAAAATAAATTCCATACAAAACGCCAAAAAGCCTTTTCAGCGAAAATTAATTCCAGCGAAAATAAAGTATTTCACAGTAATTGTATTTTTTATGTAAAACAAAAAAGAAGTCCCGCCTTTGCCAGTTTACCATAACACTTGAACATGTTAGTACGCCAGTTTACAGACGAGTGACTTCTGGTGTTTTCCCAGCCAGATATAATAATGTTAGGTTCTTACGAGCGACCACCACAATATCCGCAGGGTTCTCTTCCAAGGATAATCTTACAACTTCCTACTCATTGTGGACAAACAATAGAGCATTGTTCTAACAATGAACAGATTACAATACCATATTAACACATGCTATTGTTATCTAAGATGTTTTTCTTGAGTAAACATTACAAGTAACGGACCCAATTGACACTTTATGAATCGTTGCTGCCTCTGCAGTGCTGTCTATCTTTGCAGTATTTTAATAATAACTTATTATACATCTTTGTGTTGATGTAAATATTTCAAATTATCAAATTTTTTTTAACAGGGTCATAACTTTATTTGACACCAAGTTTTTGTGATAATACAATGCGGCTGATCCAAGTTGTTATTGGCGATCATTTTCTATTGTCTTCTGTGGAAAAAGCTAAAAATACTCCAACACTTGTGCAATGACGTTATATGAAATGATTCAGTGAAAATAAAATCCAGCAAATATACCTTTTTTTCTATTATTTACATTCAACTCAAAAGTCTTTTCAGAAAAAATTAATTCCAGCTAAAATAAATTATTTTACAGTACATGAAGTACCAACAGGTCTAGTCTATGTAACCATGTGTTATATGAGTGGTAGACTTACAATATGAATGCTGACTTCCCCCTCCTTCCAAAAAATAAGATTTATTAACACATCGCTTGCTACATGTGTACCCACTGTGGTCTTCACCAGGTGATTTAATACAGAATTTTTTTTTCAATTTATAAACACTTAAATTATGGCATGGGTGTTCTGTGATATTCTGTGTATTTGTAACATATTTGTTATATTATTCTGCAATCGTGGATGTCCCTTGAAAGAATGGACCACATGTACTGACTACAACGTCTCCAATTCTCACATAGTCAACACAAAGTAACTTTTAGCCGCTTCTCCCTAAATCAAACTACTTACAGTTTAAATGATCGACAGCCCCCAGTACAATATCTTAGAGATGGCTTAGGTTTGATTGCTGAATCATTGTACATATTACCTGGTATGACACAAATTTTTTAACATTTTTTGTTCTTTCTGGTTTCAGATGGTGAACGTTTATCAACAACATCATCATTCATGTTTTTTATATCTGGGTAGTATATTAGTTGATGAATACGGTGACGATCAAAGTTGTACACAGGGATTATTGGACATGTTGCAGGTAAATATGACATGATATTGCCCTCTGTGTGACTGGATGAATGATTTGGGGTGTATATATGCATTATTGAATATGTGAATATTACATATTATATTATACCAGTATATTGATAGTGTTAATCCATTGATTTGATTGGTCCAAACACAAAATTTGCATATGCAATCCATGGTATATTGGCTGATAATGCACGGCTAAACCAAGTGGCCCTGGAACATGAATTGACTACAGGTTTAATACGAAAATACATAAAACCGGTATTATTTGATTTTTAGGGAAATATAGTGGTTGGATTTTGGGAGAATATTGAAAAAAATACTGAATTAAAAACATCTGAAAAGTTATATAACCATAATATTGCTTTTTGTTAATGGTGGGATCCAAGTTGTGAGCGTCGGTCGTTGGGTGATTGTCGTTCGCCACACAAACCTAAACCACCGTCCCTCAACACCGTGAGGTGCCTAAACGAACGCCAGAATGCTGTGTTCTCCGTGTTGTGACTTTCAGATGGATTGCGAACCTCCAACAAAGAAAACATGATCTTTAAGTACTAGATAAGATTGAGGGATTGAAGGACAAAAAAATGCAAAAAACTATGAGTCACAGGCAAAAATGTAAGCCACCAATAACAACTGGTGTCCCATAGCTG